TCCTAGGTATTTACCCAAATGACAACAAACAAGGCTCCACCAAAGCTACCAGCACAACCATGTTCATTGCAGTATTATTTACCATAACTAAGATATGGAATCTGCCCAGTTGCCCCTCAGTAGATGAATGGATCAAGAAAACGTGATATATATGATATATATACACAATGGCATTCTATGCTTCCATCAGAAAGAATGCGAGTGAAAAGATCTTATTCTCAGATTTCCCCTTCTATGGCATTATACAAAAATCAAAAGCATGCAATTATTATTGATTCTTTCTCCCTCATGCCCTTAATAAAGCAGAAAATTCAGTCAAATAAACTTTTGAAATGTTATACTAAATATCTGGCACCAAGGACATTGAATCTGTAAGTTAACAACTTGCCAAAGTAATAAAATAAAAAACTATCATGTTATACATATCATTATTCAGACTATCTTGGTTTTCACTGTTCTCTCATCCTAGTAAATGATACATCCTGTGTAATAGCTGTACTTTAATCATAACCTAAGCTTTTCCTAGACCTCAGTTCAATCATCTGTATACTTAAGGGATTGGGTTGTATCATCATCAAAATTTTTACTCTACTATGATCTACAAATATTTGAAACTGAAAAGACGTAATGCTAACCAGAAAGATGTGACTTTTTGGACACTAAGATGAATTTAGTGGTGTGACATGTATTGATCACAAAGGTGGCTAATATAGCTTACAGACAAAGGGAAGTCAAAGATGTTGCACTTAACTATCATTCATTATGATAAAAAAACAGTGATGCAATATAAAAGACAAAACCTTTCAAAGTAAAACTAATTTAATTTCACCTCAATTTTACTGATTGCCATGGAATCAATGTTGTGTCCTACCAAAATTTATATCCTGAGATCCTAACCTCTAAGGTTAAGAAAAGAAGGACTATTAGGAGTAGTGTTCTTATAAATTTATAAGAGAAGTCAGAGAGCTAGTTAGACCTTTTTACTTTATGAAGAGATAATGTAAATGTGCCATTATGAACCAGGAAGTGGGGAACCTTCAGGCAAAGTATCTGCTGGAATATTGATCTTATACATCTCAGCCCTGAGAGGAAATAAATAAATGTCTCTTATTTAGGAGGCACTTATAGGGCTCAAGATAAGGCATAGTTCTATATTACTTTTGGATTATATTCTATGCTATGAGATTGATCACCATTAGTACCTCAAAAACAAAAACTAAAACAAAATAAAAGCTAAAGGCATACAGGAGTAATCTAATGCACTGTATTTGTGTTAGAGCACCATAAATGGACTAAGGCAATAGATTAGTTTGATATTTTTTTAATTATGTTTAAAAAGTCAGAGTATGAATTTTTATCATTTCCAGATGTTTTCTAGTAATTATTCTGGGCTTCTACGTGTCTCTTTTTGAACCTTGGTGTGGTCATTGGCCTTGTTAGAGGAATAAGATGCACCATCTCCAAAAAAAAAATTTCTCTGATACACTGTGTAACTAAGATTCATTTTGTTATCATTCCATGCTTTAGAACAGGAGTCATGGAAACAAGTTTTTGCAATTCTGAAACTGGCATAGAGAGGTGTAGCTACTTGAGCTCAGAAGTGTTCCTTCCATTCATCATTCTGACTCTCCATTCTCATCACTACAGGCTAGCCATATAATTTCCAATGGAGAACAGCACAGAAGTGACCCAGTTCATTCTTGTGGGACTAACAAATAATCCAGAACTCCAAATCCCCTTCTTCATCATCTTCCTTCTCATCTTCCTTAGCACGCTGATTGGGAACCTGGGGATGATGGGATTGATCCTTCTGGACTCTCGTCTCCACACACCCATGTACTTTTTCCTCAGTAACTTATCCCTGGTGGACTTCGCATATTCATCAGCTGTCACTCCCAAGGTGATGTCAGGACTCCTCATGAGAGAGAAAATCATGTCCTACAATTCCTGTGCTGCCCAGTTCTTCTTCTTTGTCGGTTTCATCACGACAGAGAGTTTTCTCTTGGCCTCCATGGCTTTTGATCGCTATGCAGCCGTGTGTAAGCCTCTGCATTACACTACCACCATGACCACAAATAAGTGTGTCTGTCTGACCACAGGCTCCTATGTCTGTGGCTTCCTGAATGCCTCCATCCATACTGGAAACATTTTCAGGCTCTCCTTCTGCAAGGATAACGTGGTGGATCACTTTTTCTGTGATGCCCCTCCCCTCTTAGCCCTCTCATGCTCAGACACTTCCATTAGTGAGATGGTTATTTTTTTTGTAGTGGGTTTTAATGCTCTCTTTTCGATCCTCATCATCTTGGTCTCCTACCTGTTTATATTCATCACTATCCTAAGGATGCGCTCAGCTGAAGGACGCCAGAAGGCCTTCTCCACCTGTGCCTCCCACCTCACCGCAGTCTCCATCTTCTATGGCTCCGTTATCTTCATGTACTTACAGCCCAGCTCCAGTCACGCCATGGGCACGGACAAAGTGGCATCTGTGTTCTACACGATGGTGATCCCCATGTTGAATCCACTGGTCTACAGCCTGAGGAACAAAGAGGTTAAGAATGCGTTTACCAAGGCTGTGGGGAAAGCAAAATCTTCTATATCAATCACATTTTAGTTCAAAAGAACCTATAAGGGGGTTTCACTCACCTCACCTATGTACATCTTGACGTCATTTCCCTACCCCACCCACCTGCTTTTATTTATGTATTGCAATAGTTTTCCCAGTTAATTTAAGTCTAGAAAGTAAAAGATGAGCAAACTAGAAATAATAATCTAGAATTTTTCAAAAATATAGAATAATGATTTTTAAAACTCTTTTTGTGCCTGGCTTACTTCACTTAATATAATTTTTTCCAAGTCTTTCCATTTCCTAACAAATGGGGTGATGTCATTCCTTCTGATGGAGGCATAGGATTCCATGGTAACAATTACATTGTAACAATGAGATCTACAAAACACTATGTTGAAAACAAACTTTAAAACTTGGCCAGGGGAGGGAGTTGGAGTGGTTGGGAGGTGGGAGGGAAGGGATGGTAGGGGAAAAACAAAGGAGGAGGTAACAATGCTAGGTAGGAAATATACTCATTACCTTACTCATGTAACTGTAACCCCTCTGTACAGTATTTTTACAAAAAAATAGAAGAAAAAAATCCCTTTGTAATGGCATGCTCATCCAAACTCAAATATGTGTATATACAATCATATGTACATATGAACACCATCCACAAACTTACTGAATATGAAAATGAAAATCTCATGTAACTTTTTTTTTGTCTGTGGTGAAGCCTGAACCCAGGGCCTATGTGTTATCCCTGAGCTTTTTCACTCAAGGCTAGCACTCTACCACTTTGAGCCACAGCTCCACTTTAGGTTTTCTGGTGATTAATTGGAAATGAGTCTCATGGACTTTTTGCTGCCGGGCCTAGCTTTGAACTGTGAGCCTCGTATTTTTAGCCTCCTGGTTGGCCTGGATTACAGGTGTGAGCCACTGGTGCCAGCTCATGTAATTTTATAATGACAATTAGAAATATTTATTCAAGCCAGAGAGCTGAGTTTTCATGTCCCTTATCTTAGCTACTCAAGAGGCTGAGATCTGAGGATTGTGGTTCAAAGCCAGCTTGCGCAGGAAATTCTGTGAGACTCTTATTTCCAATTAACTACCAGACAACCTAAGGTGGAGCTGTGACACAAAGTGGTAGAGCACTAGCCTTGAGTGAAAAAGCTCGAGGACATGACCCAGGCCCTGAGTTCAGGCCCCACAACAGGACAGAAAAAGAAAAAGAAATATTTGTTCAAGACGCTCAGAGTAGGTTTCATATTTAGAATACAAAATAAAGCAAATAAGCTGGTGTCAGAGAACACATTCTTAGTAAAAAGAATAATTTGACTTGTTTTTATGAAATTTCTACATAAAGTCATTAAAACACTATATAATTATAAAGTTTTAAACACTTTCAAATATATCTAGTTTAATCGTTATATTATTTTAAGTTAATTAACTGATTTGATTAATGTGTATGAATGAGATCTATTGATGAGTTTGGGTGTGTATTTCAACACTTGAGTAAAGCATATCCTGATCAAATAGAGGTAAATAGTATTCTCCTTTCTTTATTGCTCCTTACATCTCTAACCTTTGTGTCTTATCTTTCAGGTTTCAAAAACTGTGTAATAGTTTATGGTAACAATAGTAACATACTTCGTTGTAGAAAAACAAAACTTGTACCTTCTAACCAAATATTTCTTCTATTCCACATAGATGTACAATATGTTTTGACAATTATACATTCTTATAAAATTATATGTCAAATTCAATGCTTTTAATAAGTCACTTTTTCATTATTCCACATATAATGCACACAGTCAAATATTTCATTATAACACTTCCAACGTGTTTAGAATTTTACTTTGATACTTTTACCATACCTGTTGCTCCCGTTTCTTCTCCCTTTTGTTTTATGGTAGGAGTGGCGTTTGATCTCAGGACCTCAAACTGGCTAGACTGTCACTTTATCACAGATCTATGAATCTCATTCTCATTTTCACTGGATTCTTCTAGAATAGGGTCTTACTTCCCACTTGGGTATGTGCCCCTGAGCCATATCAGAATACATGAACCTTCATGTATTTGTTGAAAATATAGCTGTGTGGAACTGCTTGCAGTGGGTGTGGAGTCTTGCTGACTTTAGTGCTGGGTTTTCCTGGAACCATGATCCTCCAAATTTCCACTTCCCACACAGCTTAGAATGACAGGCATGCACCACTGCTCTCAGCCATGCGTTTCATGGCCTGGACCCATGATCCTTCCAGTCTCTACCTCATAAGTAGTTAGGTTATAGGTCTGAGCCACCAGCGTCTGGCCTCTCTGTGGTTAATCTTTGGATCCCCTTGCTTCCTTTGCCCTTCTTTCCCTTTCTACCTTCTTAATAGTTGCTTTGCAATTCTGTGATCTTTGTATTTGTTTTTTCTTCAGGGAAGAGTTTGTGGGGATGGATTATACTTTCTCAGCATTCTTTTTGATCATACTGAGCAACCCACCAACTGTGGGCTCGGGTAAATTTGGGGTAAAATTGCCAAGTATTGCTGAAATAGTAACAGCAGACCAAAAGATCCTGGCAGAGCAGAGCCTGGGTGTCATCCAGCACTAAAATAGCAGAGGTAGCTCTTGGCTAGAGAAAATAAGCAGTCTGTATAAAATTACAGAGATGAGGGGCACAAATGAAGTCTGATTGGATATCGTTAGATAAATAACTATTCTACCAGTGCACACAAAACTCTGCATGCCAGAAATGTCAAGAGTTTTAAGGAAGCCATGGACTCAGATAAAAAGCTGAAATAAACTTTCCGTAACTGAAGATGTAGTAAGAGTATGGGTGTAAGATCAGAGTTAGTTTAAAACAATCACTCAAGTAAAACTCAGTGAAGTAATAATGCCAGACCCCAATGGCTCACGCCTATAATCCTAGGTACTCAGGCAGCTGAGATCTGAGGATCACGGTTCAAAGCCAGCCCAGGCAGGAAAGTCCATGAGACTCTTATCTCCAATAAACCACTAGAAAGCCAGAAGTGGCGCTGTGGCTCAAGTGATAGAGCACTCGCCTTGAGCTGAAGAGCACAGAGACAGTGTCCATGCCCAGAGTTCAAGCCCCACGACCAAAAAAATAAAATAAAATAAAAAACCTCAGTGAAGTAGAAAAATAGATCAATGATGTAATGAGCTAAAAATGAAACTTGAGAGGAAAAATAGCAACCTACCAAGTCAAACAGAAAACTTTGTAAAAAAAAAAAAAGTGCCTGTGGAATTAAAAACATAATAGAAAGCATCAAAGCAAGAAAAGTTAGTAAAAGAAAGCTTTGGTGAGCTTAAGCATGGGTGTATTTTAAAATATAAAAAAGGGGGCTGGGAAGTTGTCTCAGTGGTAGAGTGCTTGCCTCGCACGCATGAGGCCCTGGGTTCAATTCCTCAGCACCACATAAGCAGAAAAAAGCCAGAAGTGGTGCTGTGGCTCAAGTGGTAGGTCACTAGCCTTGAGCTGAACAGCTGAGGGACAGCTCCCAGGCCCAGAGTTCAGCCCCCCCACACACACACACAAATAAATAAATAAAATAAAAAATAAAAACTACACACACACACATCTATATCTATCTATCTATCTATCTATATATGTATATGTATATATATATATATATACATAAAATGGAGGAAGTGACAAAATAAAGCAATATGTAAGAGGAAAGATATGGAAACCTTGAGACAATATTAAATGACCAAATGTTCAGATTACAGGACTTAAGAAAGTCTTGAGAATATGTAAGGAATGGAGAGCTTATTCAAAGAAATAAAATGGTAAGTGACCTTATCTTAGAAAAGGACAAAAATATCCAGATACACAAATGTCAAATGCTTCAGTCATGTTTCACTCAATTAGTTTGCATGCCTCCCAGTGCATCTCAAATAGCCAAACTCAAAAGTAAAATACCAAAAAAAAAAAAAAAAAGGTTTCTAAGCAATAAGTGAAGAAACACTTAGCACCTGAAGAATGTCTGAAGTCTCAACATTGAGAACATTTCCACAAAGGAGTTAATGAATGCAGTGGGTCTTTTTGGGGGGAGGGGAGTGTCCAGTCATGGGGCCTGAACTCTGGGCCTGGGCGCTGTCCCTCAGCTCTTCAGCTCAAGGCTAGTGCTCTACCACTTGAGCCACAGCGCCACTTCCGGCTTTTTTTCTTTTTGCTTATGTGGTGCTGAGGAATCAAACCCAGGGCCTCATGCATACAAGGCGAGCACTCTACCACTGAGCCACCTTCCCAGCCCATGCAGTGGGTCTTGATCAACTCAACCTTTTCAACATTCTCACCCCCCCATCTACCTCTTCCCTCCCTTTTCTTAAGTTTTTAGGATATGGATTGACTTGTTATGTTATGCATACAATGCATTTTAATCTGTGTGGTTCCTTCAACATTTTCACTTTTCCCTTTCACCTAACCCTTCCCTTATTTTTCTTAATTTTGTGTTATATGCAATGAATGAATGACTACATTCTGCCCCCTTCCTCCCTTAATTTGTCTACCCTTTTCCCCTTGGCCCCACCCCCCTCTTACAAGTACCCTTTTCCTGGTACTTATTTTGTTGGGCTTTGACTAGGTCTTTCTAAGGAATTATACTATTTGAGCTGTCCATAGAGTCTATTACATTTCAGTTCATTCATTTGTATACCCCTACACACACACTCAGTGTATTTATGTGTAGATTTATAGGCACATTCTAGCTACCACAAATGAGAGAAGCTTTGAAGCCTTTGTTTCTCTGGGTCTGCCTTACTTGATTTAATACAAAATTTTCCAAGATTTTCCATTTCTTTATGAACGGTACAATATCATTCTTCCACTTAGTATACAAACCACATTATCATGATAAAGTGCTTTGTTCAATGGCAACTCCTTTATACAACTACTTAAACATAATAAAAATGTTCCAAACAAACCCAAATAACACTTGTGCTTATTTCAATTGAAATTGTATAGGCCAGGAGAGAGTAGCAAGAAAAATAAACTGCCAACAAGAATCATAATCACCTCAGATTCTGCTGGTAGGAAACAGTAACCACTTTTCACTATGAAAATAAAATATAAATCAAGAGGCTATATATGAAATGGTAAACTGAGCTGTAGATGAGCTGGAAGTTGCCACTGGATACCCTGTGTTGGGCCAGGTACTGGGCACTAGAGTATATCTAGTAGAGCCCATTCTAACCAACAACTTATGCCCAGAGCCCACCTCACTGGCCAAAAGCTGCTACCATACATGCCTTCAACGGCTGCATGAAAACAGGAAAACAACAGAATATGGGGGACAAGATATTAGAGGAAAAAGCATATTGCATTATAGCGTGCAATGGAATGTACTCACCTCCTCAATAAAGAAGGAACACTGACATGTTTTTATTATTTATTTGGATTGGTTCTATTCATTAATTGAATGCTCTTTTGTTATTATTTTATCTGTTGTCATTCCAAGATATATCACCACTTTCTCCATGATAATTTATATTTGACCTTAGACATACAAATCGCAGTGCAACAGCACAGAAACTATGAAAATGCAAGGCAATAGGACTCATATAAAAGTCAATAATTCTCAAATAAAGGGAATGATAATTAAGCAAATGAAATCTCAAAGGATAATGAAAAGAATAATCAACAAGATTAAAGAGCAATTGAAAAATAAATGAATTTATAGAGATAATAAGGAAATAGTTGAGTAAATTCAAAGAAGAGAAATAGAAATGCAACAAGGATAATGCAGGATATGAATGTGGAATTAAAAATGTTGAAATGGTGCAAAACTACCAAAAAATTGAGAAAATGAAAACTTATTAACTCACACAAAAAACACAACTTAAATCCTCTATTATAGAGGGGCAGAAATGAAGCCTAAGTATCATGGCTCATAGACAAACAATTAGAACACTGAGAAGAAGATAAAAAATAATGAAAAGGTGTTCATGGAACAGGCAAGGTTTCTGCAATGCCATTCAAAGTCTAAACATATAAATCATGAGCACGGAAGAAGATTCCCCATTCTCACCAATAAATACATCACCATGAAAAACATCTTAGAGTTAAATTACATCACAGTAAACTACACAACTTGTGGATGGAGATGGGAAGGAAGGACTGGGAGAGAGTGAGGGAACAGAAGACATTTACAGAAAGAAATGTACTCATCTGACTCATGCAATTGTAATCTCTTTGTACATCTTCTTTATAATAACAATAAACTAATTTTAAAATAAAGTAAAGAAATAACAGCTCAGGTCAAATGGGCATAACTGACGGAAATGGAATATTTCACCAACTGGCTGCTTCCTACCAAGCTGATCCCAAAAAATTAAGGACATAGCATATATAAAGACATATAGCAGGGGACACTGTCTAAAATGAAATGTACTCATTACCTGACTTATGTAACTGTAACCCCTCTGCACATCACCTTTACAATAACAATAAAAAGACACATAGCAAATTTCAATCAATATAAGAAGATTGAAATAATCTGCAGGTTATCAGATCCCAGTGGAGCAAGTGGAAATCAACAACGAAAGGAACTATGTAAAATATCCAGACATGTGGTGACTGACCAATGCATTGTAGAAAAATAAGTAGGTGCAATAAAAATCTAGAACCAAAGGTAAATGAAATCACACCATGGCAAAGTAGTTCTGAGAAGAAAGCTTATAACTACAAGTTTCTACAATAAAACATCAGAACAGGTTCAATTAAATAATGATGCACATCAAATTGTTACACAAAAAGCAAGTCAAATGCAAAAAATGTGTAGGCAGAAAGAAATAATAAAGATAAGAGAATAAGCTCACAAATAATAATAATAAGCTAAAAATAAATGAACAGCCATTGAAACAGTAAGTTCTCTAAATAGCTAAACAAGATTAGCAAACCTTTAAGTAAACTAACCAAAAGAAACAAAGAGAAGACTTGTTTTATACAACCCACTTGTTCTCACTGTGATTGTCTCTTTTTTAAGTTATTATTATTATTTATAATAAAAGGTTGGGTACAGAAGGGTTACAGTTACAGGTGAAATCAGGTAAAGAGTACTTTTCTTTTTTGGAAGATATCATTCTTTCCCTTCTTGTTTCCCAGTCACTGTAATTTTCAATGGGTAAAATAATCAGATTATAATAAAATGAAGGAGACTAGAAGCAATTTTCAGTTTACCCCCAAAGTTTCAGACCATTTCAAAACTAAACTGAGAAGTCAATAATGTATCCCTTTCCCGTCACCAAATCCTTTGAAATTGAGGATGCTGGACACTCAGTTTTGCTTTAGTTATTTTATATTTTTATGTTGTTTTCATTGTCTTTTACCCTATGTTTTCCTTATTGCTTTCTTTGTCTCTTCTGAACATCAACCATGCTTTTATGATGAGTTTTTTTAAATTTTCTTTCCCTGTGAAGAACATTTTTCACTCCATTTATGTCTTTATTTTAGCACCACTCTGCTATGAGTATTTCCTTTTTGTCCTCCATTATGGACTATTCACACTCTACTACCAACCACTTGGCGTAGACAGTAAATTAATTACAATAGGTCACTGTCACCATAGGGCTAGGTAAACTCAGTGCTTTGGTTTCAAGTGAAGTAACTGAGAGACAGAGACAGATGCACAGTAGATGGCTTAGGAAACAGGAGCAGAAGGAACATGCACAGCCATCAGAAGGAGTTAGTTCCGCCATAGAGATATTAGGCTCTGGGAACAGGTCTGCACTGACAGCATTACTTCCTAAGCAGCACTGTTCTCCAAATTCTCCCAACCTCATTTATCAATTGCACCTAATCTCAAGTTAAATAAGACACAGCATGACATATCTGACATTCTACCTCTCATGTGTAGATGTTGAAAGAAAAGTTGTCCCGAAAGTAAAATAGTGATTATTTCATATTTGGAAAAAGATGGAGTAGATTTAAAAAATCCATTGCAACAATGAGATGTAAGTCCTTATGTGGAAAAACGAACTTTACAACTTTGGTGGGGGGGAGGAGGATTTGGTGGGAAGCAAGGTGATGATGGGAAGGCATGGGAAAGGGAAACAAAGGAGGAGGCTACAATGCTTGATAAGAAATGAACTCATTATCTTGCCCATGTAATTGTAACCCCTCTGTACAGTATTTTCACAATAAAAAAGAAAGTCTAGTTTTAATCAAGGTCTGAATATATTTATTAAGATGACTCATAATTAGTATCACCCACAACTAAGTATTAGGAACAAGTATTAGTATCAGCCACAATTCTACTAATACATGCATCAACACATATTAGTTAAAAATTAATATTTTAGTCTCACTAATGGTATTATTGTTGAAGAGTCTGCCATTTTCTCCAGTGTATGCGTTTGGCTTCCTTCACAAAGGCATTGATAACTGTAGTATATTAGAATTTACTTCTAAATACATATATAAATGCAGTATAAACCAACTCAATGGATGATACTTGAGAAAGAATATGGAGATGAAGTCGAGGAATGGTCATCTGAAGGAGGGAGTAGATTTTTTCAAAGTACTCTATGTGCTTTATGGAAGTATCACAATATCCATATTACAACTGTATGGCAATTTCAAAATGAAAAATAAATGCACTAGACTTTAAAAGGTAAACACATTTTCCACAGAGATTAAGAAATCATAGTCTATTCTTCAGAATAATTCTCATTGTGGTATTGCATTTCTAGATAAGTGTGTTTTCTACTGAACTCTAGATTTTGCAAGGGACAGGATATAATTTCAGAAGTTAATATGGCTATTGCATTTTAAAATGCCAGTTTAGAAGAATGAACCCGAAAATTAGTTTATTGTGCATCCAAACACATTAAAACCCCGCGATGATTTGACTTTGTCAATTACCTTTCTGAAGGCACTCTTGACCTCTTTGTTCCTCAGGCTATAGACCATAGGGTTCAGCATGGGGATGATCATTGCATAGAAAACAGATGCAATTTTGTCTGTATCCATGGAGTGACTGGAGCTAGGTTGGAGGTACATGAAGATGACAGTCCCATAAAATATGGAAACTGCAGTAAGGTGAGAAGTACAGGTGGACAAAGCCTTTTGATAGCCCTTAGATGACTGCATTTTGAAGATGGTAATAAATATGAACAGGTAAGAAATCAATACCACAAGAAGAGCACAAAAGACATTGAAACTGGAAATGAAAACCAGAACCATCTCATTCACGTGTTTGTCAGAACAAGAGAGAATCATGACGGCTGGGATATCACAGAAAAAGTGATGGACCACATTGGACTCACAGAAGGACAGGGTGAATGTGTTCACAATGAGGACAGAGGAATTCACAAAAGCATAGATGTAGGAGCCTAGGACCAGATACACACACACACTTGTTGTCATGGTGGTGGTATAATGTAAAGGCTTGCAGACTGCGGCATAGCGATCATAAGCCATTAAGGCTAAAATAATATTCTCCATGGAAGCAAAGGCTAGAAAAAAGAACATTTGAGAAGCACATGCATTGTAGGATATTACGTTTTCTTTTATAAGGAACCCAGCTATCACTTTGGGTGTGGTCGTTGAAGAGTACCCAAAGTCCACCATAGAGAGGTTACTGAGGAAAAAGTACATAGGAGTGTGGAGATGGGAATCCAAGACAATCAGCAAGACCATGCCCAGGTTTCCCAAAGCAGTAGTGAAGTAAATGATGGTGAACACGATGAAAAGTGGAATCTGAAGTTCTGGGCTTTGGTTAACACCCTCCAGGAGGAAATTCCCCACTTCTGTGTGGTTCATCCTAGGAAGTATAGACTCCCTGCAGTAATAAGAAAGGAGTATTTGGAGCATGAAAAAAGAATTTTAACTGAAGGATGTATTATTGTATATTACATACATACATACACACATATTATGTGTATATATTATGCATGTATATTACATACATGTATATTATATTACTGTATTATTACATTATTATTCCTAAGATCTAAGGCAAAAATTTGGTCAAAACAGTAAAGGAAAAAAGTCACCTAGATAGATTCAGATGGTTAAAATTACAAAAGTCCTTAGAGATCAATAACCAAATGCACTATTGTATGAATAAAGAAACTGAGAAAACATTGTTGTATTTGTCTTTGGTCCCATATGGGTAATAAATACTTCCCAAATCACATCATCTGACACTGTTGCGAGCTGACAATTACATAATGATTTTTATCAATATGGACTTAAGATATTCATGTGTTGTCTTCTTTAAGAAACCTACAGAAGTTTAAGTACATGGAAATGATCTGGGTTTCATCTCACAAAGAACAGTGCCCCAGTACCTATGCCCTTAAGAGGTTTAATAGAATTTAATTTAAATTAGTTCATATTTATTGATGGGATCTGTGATTAAAAAATCAATGCTTTGCATGCCTAGGAGAATAAATGAGAGACAGATGTAATGTAAATGAAGTGCTCTAATGTCATCGTTATTAGAACAGTGCTGAAGAGAAGATTTGGCATTCAATGTCAGTGTTTAGACTCTAGAAAGAGGTGAAAGATCAATCAACTAGTAGCCTCATCCATTACTGCCTAGGAGAGATGGGTCCTGAGTTCATTTTCTTTATTTGTGAAATAAAGACAGTAACAGGACATCTCAAAGCAGACTATTGTAATAGTTAAAGAAGATTAAAAAGACAGCAAAGCTAAGGAGCTTATCACAAACTTAGTGAGTGACTTCTAAGAAGTGAGCACAAGGTGTGATGATGGTTTCCACCTCAGCTTGGAAAGCCCAAGGGGTGGCTTGCAGGGCTGCCACAGGCGGTTGAGTGTGGACTCTGGTAGGCAGCCCTCTGTAACTGCTTCTCCTGATCAGCCAGTATACTGAGCGCTCCTAGGCTTCCAGCACATCTTACTCCACACCAGCCACTTGCGTGAGAATTCAGGATTATTTAGTCTATCTTTTGATTAAATAACTTGCAGTTGAGGCACAAAATAATCTACAAACCTTAAGTCATTCTTACATAATTTTCATTTCATTTGTTGACTCATAGAGTTGAAGGTTGAAAATTCACAGCAGTGAGGTTTCTATGTTTATATTTTTTAAGTTGGAACTTAAGAAACTATTCTCTGATACCTATTTCCTCTCCAATCCTCCTTTTGGCCATTTTACAGATTTGTATTGCATTATATCTCTGTAAGCATTTGCATTTGTGTTTACACCCTTCTAACATACACGATGATGCAACTGAAAACAACATAGAGTGTGCTATGTTCCATAAAAATAATTTTTAAATTATCGATATGAATATATACCTCTTCCTTAACATAAAATGAGTCATGTTATCATAATTTGTAGATTAAAAATTAATGTTAGATTATTTCCCCAAATTATCTGTTGAATATGAAGTAATCCCACTATTTCCATAAAGGAAGAATGATTTTGCAATATGTGCTCTGAACTACTGCTCTATAGCTTTTATATAAGTGTAATAAAATGATGCAATTGTGCAATAAGAAAATTGAAATTAAGATGGCAGCAAATAATTACATGAGGACCCTTCTTAAGTCTCAGGACATAGATTCAAATTGTTAGGAGATGAGTTTACTATTTACTAAATCAAGGCATCACCTGACCTTCCCTGTCTACATTTAAACTGTAGCCAAGTGTTTCTTAAATATCACTTTACTTACTACTCATAGAGTTTTTGCTAGTGAGAGTCCATTCTATTTCCAAGCAAAAGGCTCATGAGCTCATCTATTTAATAGTATTAGCCTACCTATTATACTCACATATATTATAGTTCTCATTTAAAAGTAAGTATATAAAAGTTTACCTCACTCCTGGGGAAAAAACATGATGGAAATCCTAACTTTTCAGTTATCTGAAATCCTGCCAGGGAAGAATGTATAAATTCCTTTGGAGATGCTTTCCTTTTTAGGAATTGATCAAAAAATGTTTTTATAATTATCACTTCCCTTATTCCAACCTCAGTTTCTCTATTCATATCACAAGCATGTCTGTGTCATTTACAGAACTATGTCTGTATAAAACGAAGTCTGTTAATCACCTCAGTCATGAATTATAATTGCATTATAATTTTAAATATTCAATATTATATATGCATATACATATAACCTTTACCTTTTTCCTGTTGATAGTTTCAGATTGAGACGTTCTTCCATTTGGAGAAGGCCATATTGAACCAACAACTATTCTATTTCAGAAGGCTAAGCATGTTAGCAAAGGGTCCATGAGCACAGTCTGTCTCTGATAAACTGACGTCAGACACAAAAATCATGCTGGGATTTAGAGGTAATAACCTGGATCCAAAAGAAAACTTCAGAGACACAATAGTCTCAAGGGAGTGAGCTCCCTGTGGAGGGACCCCCAGGCTCCTGTTCCAGTTGCCTTAAAAAAAGCAATTAAACTGCTTTAAGGAACTAACTTCATTTGTTGAGTGGATACACTGCTGTATCCATATTGTTTTGTCATTTACTAGTTTAGTTGAGGTTGTTAAGTCATGTACAGTAAAGTTCAATCATTTTAGGATACATTTTTGAGTCTGAATAAATATATGTGCTCATGTAAACAATAAAGAATCTCATCTATCTAAAATATTATCATATTGGGTGGTATTCAAAATTTCTGCCTTACTACTTCATAGTATAAATTGATTTTTGTCTTTATGAGTTACATTTTGCATATATAGAGAGAGATCGATGTAAATGGAATGATAGCACAAAACTAGCCTCATGAACCTGCCTTACGTCACCTATCAGAATACATATATGAGATTCACTTATTTGTTTACATAGACATCATTTGTTATATTTTTACTGTTAATTATTTTTCAAGTTCAGCAAAATAAAATACCAGGAAACAGTACTCAAAAGGGATGGAGTGGGGTTGAGGAAAAAGGGGTAGACAGACGAATGAAGAGGAGAAGAGAGGTAGAATGCAGTCAAGAATCCAATATATAGCCTACAAAATGAAGAAGAGTGAGAGAAAGGGTAGGGAGGGGAAGGATGAGAGAGAAGATTGAAAGGGGTAACACTGATTAAGATATATTGCATTCTTAAACTTTTCTCTTAAATGGCAACTCCTTTGTACACTTACATAAAGATAATAATAAAAAATAAAATAAAAAGAAATCAACTTCATATACATCTAACTTGAAGTTAAATGTTAGCCTTGACATTGTGTGATCTACAGGCAACTTTGGTATTTGCAATCCTCCCTGAAAAAACACCGGCTGCTTGGTTTTCAGGACATTGCTCACCTTTACTGGCAACCAATCTGCCTGCCCTCTTATAAATAAAGATCTCCAGACCTCAGCCTTGCAACAAATTCCCCATCTCCATGTTTGTATTTTCCTTATAGATATCAACCACTCTCATGGTATTAAATGCCACCTAATGCTATTATTTCCCAAATATATTTCTTTCATTTTAATGCTAAACTTGTATGTGGTAATCAAAAGACACCACATGGCGGGGGGAGGCTGGGAAGGGATGTGAAGGGTAAACAAAGGAGGAGGCTGCAATGCTTGATAAGAAATGTACTCATTATCTTGCCCATGTAATTGTAACCCCTCTGTACAGTATGTTCACAAAAAAATTAAAATTAAAATTAAAAAAAAGAATAATACAGCATCTTTTCATTGAAAAAAAAAAGATACTACATGTATTGGAATGAAACCCCAGGATACCTTCCACTATGAACCTTCTACTGCTCTAATTCACCATATCTCATATAATGATGATTTATTTTTCTGGTTACTTACACCAAGTAAGTCACTATTTTCTCACACTTGTACCCAATAATCAGAAAGTTATATAATCTTCAACTTTCAAGTACACTAAAATATTCTAATTAACTTAGAGTCCCATTCATCTATGGTATATTATATAATTCAGAAGAAATAGAAATAAATAATGACATCAACATAATTTCAGAGATAATATAATTTTCAATATTATACATTATGTTTCAAACAGTTAATGTCAGTAGGTTTTTCCTAAGAAGGAGTGAGCCATTGGTGCCTGGCTCATGTAACTTTCATACTTACAATTAGAAATATTTATTCAAGCCACAGCACCAATGGCTCACACCTGTAATCCTAGCTACTCAGGAGTCTGAGACCTGAAGATTACTGTTTGAAGCCAGGCCCGGTTTGTAATTTAGGTTTCTCTCCTAATTATTTTCTAAATATTTACAATTTTTAAATTCTCTGAAGGTTATCTATATTAACTACTTCATAATTATTTGGAAACCCTACTATACTTTGCTATCTGAATAGCAAAGTATATTTGCCTACAAAATCAAAACTTGAAGTACCCTGAATTTATTTTTTCTGGGTTTATGTGTCTACTATGGTGTCTAGAACATATAAAATTAGTCATTAATTTTGTTTGGTTAGATGAATTAGAGAAGAAATTGTTACTGTTCTGCAAAAGCAGCTCTTTAGAGAGTAATTTGCACTGAGAAATTAAACTGTCTTCAATGACAACTTCTCTGAGACTCTAAATGAAGAATCAAAAGAGAATGAAATTCAAAAACATTCCATTGATATTTTCATATGTGTATTCTTTAATATAATTTTCTGTTACACATTATGTTCCAAACAGTAGGTTTTTCCTAAGAAGAAACTCTCTGAACAAAATCATTGAAATCAAAGAAGCAAATATAGATACAGATATAGATATATAGATAAATATGTCTTGAAACAAGAAAACTATTCCATGGAACGGCTTTATAAATATACATAGGGTATGTTTATTATTATACATATACTGATTATATTCACCAG